TTAAGCCATAACATTCTGGACTCTCTTCGCTTTAAAATTCAGCAACTTGTTTGATTTAGTCTCTTACTGAGCAAACAAACAAGCAAGAAACCAATTAATTTTTTTTTCTGAATAAGTTTAGGCTACAGATCTCACCATCAAGAAAACCTGAGGGATCTTCTGAATAGTAATTAGGCAAATTCAATTTCTACTGAGTAGCTTGCAAGTGTTATTGAAAGATATACCCTCAACCATTTGCATATCTGATGAAACAGAAATTGTAGCGCAGCCTTCTTCAACATGCTTTCTGCATGTGGTAGAATTACAAAACATAGCAATGCTCTCAGGGACCAGTGTGTGCAGGCTGAGAATTTTGGGAAAAGTGATCCGAAAACACCAGGAAGCCATTCAGGTTGTAAAATAGTTCCATTATAGTAAGACTGAAAGCCATATTCTTTTATATATTTCATCCTTCAGTAACAAAATATTCTGATAAGGTCTGTTTCTGATTCAGCACATTCCTAAATTATCAAAAAAAAAAAAAAAGGACAAAGTATTAATGGTGATTCTAAATATTTTGTAGAAATAAATGGCGTGATTTACTTCTTGGTAAGCACAGATTGAATTGCAGGGTACGTTGTTCATGTTATGACATTATATGAAGACTCTAGAAAATGCAGTATGTCAGAAAAGATATACAGATGTTTGTATTGGATCAGTATTTTGTAAAATGATTTTTTAATATTTCAAAACGAAGAAATTTGTGCAGTTGAAATTTTTAGAATGAAGAAAAATAAATAGGATCTGCAACAAAATGCATACTCCATTGTGGGGCTCAAATCTATTTAATTTCATTATCTTCCTATCCCAGTTATCTAATTCTTCCTCTTCTCTTCCATAATTCAATCATATTCCATAGTCAATGACTAGGTTGAATCTTCACTGGTAATTTTCTTTTTTTTTTTTACTTTATTATTATTATTTTATTTCTCCAAATGCTGAATTTGTCCCTAGTACTATCATGGTTGATTGGGAGTACTGAAGTGCTTCCAGGTTGAAGGGAGTAGCTGGTGATGTCACTGTTATTTGTGTTGTGGTCTGCCAGCAGCCTGCGGAGCTGGGAGCGGAGTCAGACAGTGAGGAGGCTAGGGAGAACAATGAGCCAGACCTGGAGTCTGGGGAATATCCAGATGTGGGCTCTGCGTTGGAGGCAGAGATGGGGCCAGGGCCATCTGGGAGTGATGCACGGACTCCTGAGTCCCCAGAGTCGGACAGCAGAGAGACAGAGGAACAGGAGGAGCCTGTTCCTAGTGCACGCATGCCAGAAGGCAAGAGCAGCTAAAGCAAAAGGGACGACTCAGGAGTAAGGCTAGATGATTGGCCCCTCCCATAAGGCTTAAAAGAGAAACAAAGGCACTTGGGGCCTTTTGCAGGAAAGCAACGTTGCTAACTCTGTTTCCAGTCAGTGTCTCTTGTTTGTTTCTGAACTTTGTGGGGCTTTGCCAAGTAAGGCCTTTGGCAGGGTGTCAAAGAAGATAAGGTTGGTGATTATCCTGAAAGACTTCTTCTAAAGGACTTGTTTTGCAACTAATTGGGACTCAGCTGAGAATTACATTCATTCCCAGCTGTTACAATAAAGTAGGTTTGTTTGGGACTAATTGTGTCTTGTAATGACTCAGTAAGCCTAGGTCATAACAATTTGGAGGATGCCTAGTTAGGGTCTCCTTTCATGTCCCCATTAAGCTTCCCAGTGAAGTGGTACCCATCTATCTACTCGCGGTTACCCGCTTTTGAACTGTTGGATTGGTGAGACCTGGAGCGAGTGACATGCACTTACCCCGCTATGCAGCAGCAATCAGATTTTGAATGCAAGCATGCAGATTGTCAACCCAGCATCCTAACCATGTGAACCATTCCCTTGCTTGCTGACATTGCTCTTGGTATCAATTTTGCTACTTTTGAACAGGAACACAATCATGCCCATATATTCAAATATGGAAGAAATTATACATAAAATATTTCACTCCCACTGAACAATAAAAACAAAAATAAAGTTTCTTGATCGTCTAAATTCCTTTGTAGCCTGCATCAAGGTATTCTACAGTAAAGAAATAATAAAGCGGAAAAAGCACAAATAGGACAAACGAACAAGGTGAAATGCATGAGAAGCACATTTAAAAGGGTTGAAAAATAAGAAGGAAAAAATTGAATCAATTATTTAAAGTTAAGAAATATTAAAATATAAATATTAAATGAAATGAGCAGAAGCCAAAAAAAATCCTTAATAGAAAAGAGTATCATGATAAAAAATGACAATAACAGAAAGTAAAATATGAAGAAACATATAGGACAGAAACATGAGGATGGACAGATGTGATATCAAGGAAAGCTAATGAGAAACATTACAGAAAAGCTAAAAGTTAAGAATAGTGTTAAGAATGAGCAAACATTTAGAATCAGCACAAGTATGAGAAGACAAAGCTGAATTGTAGATATTAACTTGTTATTGAGAAGGTATCAACAATGATTTTTACACAAAAAATAAGATCAAAATGGCAAATTCCAGCAATCTTATCCTTGAGCAATCTCATGTCATGCTTTCTAAATTAATTCCTATCAGAACACCAACATTTCTCTAGTTTCACTACTTTTAATTGTACTGCTTTCAGGAATTTTTTAAATATTTCTGTTTTAAATAAAATCTTGCAATGTTGGGATTGTGCAAATGCCATTTCAAGGTAGCATTTTAGCTTGGCACCTTTGGGCCACTGGATTGTGACCATTGTTTTAAAAAGATATAACTTTTATTTTTTTAGATTTGAGAATCTGAGGAAATGGTTCTTATACTAACTGGAAATGCCAAAATTTATAGAATAAATTGTAATTAAAGCTGTTTGGTTGATAGTAATAATACCTGAACGCTCAAGTACTTTTTTTTGGCAATATTAAAATTCTCTGTAAATATAAAAGCATCTATTTTGGCCAGCATCATTTTCACAGTTTGGAAACCCATAAGGAGGGCATGCATCCAATAGCAGCTTCTCACATATGTTGCTCATGAATTGACACTGAGAAGAGCATGTCTCCATTTTTGATATCGGACTGCTCATTAGAACAATCAGTGCTCACAACTATCATTATGTCTCCTCAATGTGATTATACTAGTGAGCACTACTCTACTTGAAAAATGCTTCCTTTTATTAATCTTCACCCCCTTGGGATTCTGCTTGTTGGACATCCCTCTAATATAGCCGGCTTATTTCCTTTATTTTTCTGGAGCTAAAAATATCTAAATGTTCCTCACTGGGACTTGCTCCAGCCTCTTCATCAGCACATTTGAGCAGCCAAGAGAAGATGCCTGGATCAGATGTAAGCAAAGAAGAACATAATCATTTAAATGCAATTATACTGGGTTCTGCAATTAATGCCATTGTTTTAAAATTTTGGTTTCCTGTAGAAATGGCCATATGACAATTGCCAGATTGCAGCTGCTTTTGCTTTTGTACTCTTGGTTTGGCATTGTAATTTGTGATGGGTCACAATCATTAGAAAATTTGTTATGTCTTAAAACCCACTGTACTCTATGGGAGAAGATAATCACAACCAACCAATTCCATTGATTTAAATGGAATTGGAGAATGACTAACTCTTTGGATTGGAGCCACACAATCAACTATTTTAAGGAGACAGATTATAGTAGGCCATTCACATATCCTTTAGAGTTTTAGTTTGCTTGGGAGCCAATGACGAAATCAATTCATTCAATATTGGCCACTATATCATATGTAACTCTTCATTCTTACTTTTGTAAATATGTCAGAAACATTTTTCTCCCATTCATCAAAATCATATCCATAAGTTTCAAATGATCTTTTGTGTGATATTAATCCTGGTACTCAGGGTTCCTACTATGTTCCTTAACATTGCAAATGTTTGTTGGTTGTATGGCTTGCTTGGTGGCTATTTAGTGTTCTTGTTCGTTTATTAATGAAATTAATTATCCAATAATAGGACCCTACTATTTTTTTAGATAAGTGATTGCCCTGAGCATTTCATTAGGGGAATCAGTAGTATTTCTCCAATTATAAATGGGATCTTCCTTCTTACTCTAAGTGCAGCATTTTAGGATGCTAAAAAATTGGTCTCAACTATCAACTATTGTGTGATAGTCCTCTTGTTATTTGAAGAAAGCCATCATTTTTCCTCAGACTTCTCTTTGAAGGTAAGAGGATGAAGGATGTTTGAAAACATCCTATTTTCACAATATTAACTCTTGGTAATAAATTCTTTTTTCATTCAACTATATTTCTACCTTATGCCATCTAGCTCATTCTTAAAAATAATGTCAAGACTATTTTACCAGATCTTTTGCTGTAATCAAACTATATTGTATCTAAAGAATTATCATTATCTGCTATGGAAGTTATCTAATTAAAAATATGTTGCCTGGAAATAGTCTTTGAAAAATCAAAGCTTGGAATAAACACCTTTTTCTTGGAAAAAATGTTTTTGGAATCATATATCATATCATATATCATATCACAAATCTTTTAAATCTAAAGATGCTGCAGCAAGCAATATCTGCTTCAGGATGTTGGCATACTTGCATATGCTTATGCCATTCCTGTAATCTTATCACTTTTGTCAGAAATCTGAAAGGTTTTGCCTGAGTGGACTCTATACCTCTATACCCTGATACATATATTTCAGAGAAAACATACATTAGATGACTTCTAGGAGAAGATCACAATCTGTCAAATAGAGTAAAAAATTACTCTAAGTTTCTAAGTGATTCCTAAAGTGTGCATGCATGGATGACATCCCACCTAGGTTCATGCTTCATCTCTGCTTTTGTTCTGCAATTCTGGCTTGTATATGTAATGAATAAATTTACCAGGAAACAGGAGAAAAATATATAAAATGCAATGTATCAAAATATTTAGAATATTAAATTGTGAAATGCTGGCTTATGAGAGCTTCATAATATCTGGCAATGTTATTGATGCAAAAGCTGTTCTTACCTGCAGTGTACGACCATTGGTCCAGCATCAGGAGGATTACAAGTTTTAACTCGTCGTAAGAAAGCTAGGAATGGTGTTGGATGTTCTGGAACGCCATGATCCGGCCATGCAGTGAACTGGAATTGTCTAACTTCTCTCTTCTCACTCGATCCATTCTAACACATAAGAACCTTAGTGTAAATTATTTTTAGTGCCAAAACAGTACACCAGAATGCAATCATCATGAAATCAAGCAAAACAAATTTATTGTTGGTCTAAAACTGTTATTTTTATCCACCTTTTTAAATCACAGTCATTAAATATTTGATGAGAATTAGGGCAAGCATGGCATTAATATTCAGTATTTTTGTCTATAGTTAAGTTAGATATGAAAAATGATTTTATGTAAGAAAGTTTAATATAAGAAAAAGGTAAAGAAGCTTGTCTAATTTTTTTTGAGGGGGAAAGACGACAGGAGAAAAAGAAGCTATTTACTGTGATTGTCAAGAGGAGAACAAAAAATAATGTGTAGAATTTTTTTACAACAGTGTTTTAGATTTAATGGTGGAAATGCTCCATATGTGTAAAGTTGGTTTAAAACAGCAAGAATTTTATGAAATTTTCTTGACCCTAAGGACATCTGTTAAGTAAGAGTTTATTTCAAGGAATTTTGCTGTTGAATTGCATTCTTTATGTAAATCAACATTTTGAACATCAGTGTAAAGACCTTTAATTCTCTTTATACAGAAATTTGAACACTTGCTTGTGATACTGCCAAAACTTAGATAACACCCTTGTTCCATTAAAGGATACTCAATGCTTACATAACACAAACATACCTTATAAAGGGCAAATGTTCTAACACAGTATGTTGCCAATTCTACGGTGTCCAGCAATGTGACTTGAATCAATCCATATGTTTCTGTTCCTCTGCTTGGCCAATACTGATCACATTTAACCTGCAAAAAACAAGTCAAGTATGAGGGGAAAAATGAAAGATAAAATAAGTGATGTTACATTACTATAAAGAAGTGGAAAACAAATGGAAACCAGCTAAAGAGAAGAATACTAAGTTGAGATAGGAGAGAACCAAAAGACCCCCTAGCTGTCGTGCAAATGATCCAGATCATCCAGAAGGAGAGAAGGAAGGTATGGTTCATTGGGGGAACATTACTGAAATAGCTTTTACAGCACTCAGCATGTTGTGTGAGACAGTGGGAACTCAAGTCAGAATACTATAAGTTTTATAGGGGATTTCTTACAGTGAAGCAAGACCTCTAATGAAGCTTTATGAGTACTCTTGGAATTCCATGGTCCAGATGGTATGTCTCAGCACAACTATATAAGAATGGAATTAAGAAAAAGAACATTCATGAAACTACTTCCTCTGATAAAAGACAATGCTTCCCAAATTTATCTTTGTCATCCTTAGCTGGTAAGTGTCCACTGAAAAAAAAATAAGGCACGTTTAGTTATTATAACAAAAAGTATGGTCTATTGTTACAGCTGAAGCAGAATTTATTTCTAATTGACCTTATTTTTATTTTCACTATGGAATAGATCTGATGACCTTATTGAAATTTAGCATGTCCACTTCCATTTTTACATTATTCACTGTGCCCAGCTGCTGATGGTTCTGGTTATTTTTTCCCCAGGTGTTCCTTCCAGGAAGGTCACTTCATTTGAAAGCATCTTTTGATCTCTCAAGTTGGGAGATAGTTGGCCTTACTCTGCTATGGCAGGGAAAGGGGCTTTTTTTACTCCCTTCCCTCTTAAGAAGCAGACAGAATGCTTAAAAAAAATAAATGTGTGTCCAAATGTCCTTAGAAATTCAGTTATAAACTTTATCAGCCAATACTAACAAAGAAACCATATAGCTGAGATCAAATTTATTAGCTACATTTCAAATCATGAAATAAAAATAAAGCATGTTCCTTTTAATTTTATACAAATTATAATAAAATATTCAAGTAACTGCCAAATATGCCAAATGTCTAAACGACACTATCTCATAAAAAGTCTCCTCTGGATTTCCTGCATTTGATAAAAAAATCAAATGCAGAAATAAACCTGCTGAACCACCTGCTGAAATAAAATCAGTAGGGGTTGAATGACTTACTTTCCCATATGAATGAAAGCTGACACCTCTGCAGAACTGAGGAATTCAAATATGTACATTTATTACTAGAGAATATTCATGAACCTTCACACTCCAGCAAGCTATAAATATCAAAAGATGGTCCAACTTTGCAGCAGTTGTGCTCAGAAAAGAAATTTCCATATGTAAACCCTCCCTCCCCCACCTTGCACAAAAAATGATGAACATAATCCTTGACATTCAAGGGTAAGACAGGCAATTTTCTGGTACAAAGATTTAGTCTCAATTCTAAAAGAAAGAAAAAAACTCAGTACAGAAGTAAGATTTTTATTTGCCTTCTTTTCTTCAGCACCTTGGAGAGACCTCCCAGCACTACAGGATCTCAGCTACTCTTCTGTCCCTTTAAAAAACTGTTTAAGTGTATTTTCAAACTGTGATCTGCCTCAGCCACCTGTTGATCTTACAAGGATGAATACTAATCACCTCCATGCAGTTTTAATATCTGCTGATGTATTTGGCATTTAGCATGACATTTTCTTTTGAAGATTCCGTTTGATAAGCTTTTCAGTGCTTGGTTATTAACTACTAGATTACACTATCAGTAAAGAAATAACAGTAGAAAATTAACTTACAGTGTTATTCAGTAAAACAGCAGCACATCATGGATGTAAGATTAAAAATAATTGCACCATCCTGACTCTCAATTGGCACACAGTAAGGATTCTGTTGCACTGAGGAATGCACAGTATAAAATGATTAACCTGCCTCTGGTTAGAAAAAAAAATGGCTTCACACATGGGCTTGTTCTAAAAGAACAGCACACTTAGGAACATGAATATGATGCACTGATCAGTCTGTTACCATATAGCATCAATTGCTAGAAATCATCCATCTAATAGAAATCTAATTTTCAAAGAATTTTTGTGGCCAACACAAGTAGAAAAAATATTCATGTAAATTACTAGACCTGAATATACTGTATGTGCGATGTGAACTGAAAACAGATTAGATCTACAAAAGGATAAACACAATATCCTGCCATACTGAATGCAAATCAAATCCAAATAGTAAGGATTCAAAAAAAGATGAAACCAATTTCATGGCAAAAATGGACTTTGTCTTTTTCTCCGTGTCCTCTGATGCCAAGTACAGAAATATTGAGAGATGAAGTGAAAGCATGATTGGAAAGAGCATTGTCCAATGAAAAGTTCAAACAGATTAGCAGAATGCTTCCATTGCACTAGGACAAAATTAAATATTATTCTATTCTTTGAGGGCTGGAAGGAGTAGCATCTTGCTGCCAGTATTGATAAGGCTAAAAAGAGAACAAGACAGCCAAGCTCTTTGACTATCAGACATCACTTCTACAAGCTGAGATCATTAGCACTATGTGGATTCTTGGTGGGAAGATGTCTGGAAGGAATAGAATAGCATTTTCTTTTTTCTTTTTCACATCATTGTCATAAGGATAAGAAAATTACTTTGCCAATCCTGTTGGCAAAGCAGTATTAATGAAAGAGGCCTGAAAGGCCTGAAATGGGAACAGAAAGTCACCTGAAAGACATATTCATGCTTATGAACACAAAAGGTACTTAGCTGTCCCAGGATCCAATATCAATCTCTATTTTTATATGCTACTATGTAATATATGGACAACATATAGACTGAGTTGTTAGTGCTCAAGACCAATTTCTGTTACTGAAAACTATATAGTCTATAGTGACTTTGCATACATATGCAGTAAAAGAAGTTAGGATCTCTCAGCAATTTGATGAAAAGGAAGAGGAAGAAAGGGAAAAGGCACGAATCTGTTTTCCAACTCCAATAAATGGCAAATTATGTACACATTCTGGTTCAGAAGGTAACAGGATTCCGTGTATCTCATCTCAGTGAAGAGTGATGCTGGCCACATGATCACGGAAGTGTCTTTGGACAATGCTGGCTCCCTTGGCTAGCAAACAGAGATGAACACTGCCCCTAGAGTCAGACACACCTCAACAGAGAAAATCATTATCTTTTTTTTTTTCTGTCTCTTGATATGCACTAGAAATGCATTGTAGGCAGCAGTTTATCTAGTCTGAGATTTATGTTCAGAAATCTTCCTTTATGGACATATTGTCTCTGTTGTGACCCAGGCCCAAGTAGTTAGTATTAAATACAAACAGTTCAAAAACAAACAGACTTTATTAGAACAGCTGAGAATTAACTCATTCTCAGCGAAGTCCAAACTAAATTAAAGCAAATTCTTCAAAACACCATTTCACAGTTTATCACCTGACCTTGGGATAATTAGGCAAACTGCCAAAGGCTTTTCTTGGAAAAAGTTCAGAAGCAGAAGACGTGGACAAGAAATGAATACAGTGAAACAAGAAGCAATTCTCTCAATGGTTGTTTTCCGGCAAAGAGGCCAAGAGCCGTTGCTGGTCTTTTAAGCCTTATGGGAGGGGCTAATCATCTCTTGGCCCTACTCCAGAGTCGTCCTCTCTGCTTTATCTGCTTCTGCCTTCTGGCAGCTCTTCTCATACATGCACTAGGAACAGGCTTCTCCTGTTCCTCTGCCTCTCTACTGTAAGCCTCTGGAGGCTCCTAAATCTGCACATCACTTCCCGATGGCCTTGGCTCCATCTCTGCCTCTGATGCCGAGCCCTCATCCGGGCCTTCCCCAGCCTCCAGGACTGGCCCATGTTCTTCCTCAGCCTCATTGCTTTCCGATTCCGCTGCCAGCTCCACAGGCTACTGGCGGAACACAACAGTCTCCAGGTAGACAATCTCATCTAGTTTCAAGCTTAGCTTTGTTGGTCTAAGGACAATTGCATTAATTACCATGAAGGAGAAAACAAGGAGAAAGAACTAGAGCCATTCATCCTGGTAGAAGACACTCACTTATTTACCATACTATCTCTTTCCCAGATAAGGGAAAGTAGATAGCAACCTTATTTCCATAGCATAACAACTTTAACATGGAAACAATCTGAGATGAGAGTGAGTAAACAAAGTAAAGTAAATTAACCACGACTGTAACACTACACATGGAGATTTTGTAGAAAAGCATCTTACCAAGAGACAAATATTAATGCTTCAAATCATTTGATGTATTCATGCCCTGTGACTGTCGGCTGCTTTTAATACTCTCTAAATTCTCCCTTTAATATTTTGCTTTCATTTTATACAAATAAAACTCATGCAAGTAACAAATATGTTATCAATATTCCTCCATGCATGGCCGTGTGCATAATCCTTTTTGATATAAATTATGCATATGTTAGCAAAGTAATGGACTGATTTTTTCTCTCTAAGGTCTGGATTAGGTCAGGTAAGATTTGGGAGATGACATTTAAATTGAAAACAATAAAGTAAGTAGGGTTATAAATAAAAGAGCTCACCTTGCCCCGTAGCTTCCCCATAGACAAATAAATGAATAACTAATTCACTGTAACAACCTCATTCAATGTTCTCAGCTGTTGAATATTTAAGTTCTCAAAGCTGGAGGTAGTCAGACTTCTAACACATGCTAATGAGCCAACTAAGTTCATTTCTGCTGATGCTCCAATCTCCCCGCCCCCACAAGGAAAAAAAAATCCCTTTATCTATGCAGCACAGGTTAGAAATGCTGAAGCAAAGCTGCAGGACTGAGCAACAGGAAAGCAAATAAACAAAAAATGTAATGGAACACAGAAAAATGAAGTCCCACAGCAGACGGCTTTTGCTTTCAAGATCAAGTAATTATCAAATCTGCTAGTGGAGGAAAAAGCTTTTCTTTTTTTTTTTTTTTTGTGTGTGCATCTATTTCCCAAGCTGGATAGAATACCAAACGGATGAATAACAGACTTTCTGAAATGTCATTCCTATTTTAATAGTAATTTAGGCTTTGATCCAATGGAATCCTTCCATTAGGAGGATAATGGCTGTAAAGGCTTATCACGTTACTACCTAGAGAGACTCCTAAGACATTCCCCAAATCTGTTGTGAAAGGTTATGGTACTATCTGAGGTTCTGCAGGACTGTTGAGTGAGCAGAAGTTGACCTGCATAAGCATAATGTTAATTTAGCTCAACAGTTCACTTTCACCATTTGTACTATCAGAAAAATAAAAATAAAAATCCACATGTTAAGAATGTTCAGTATCTAATTCTCCTACATAGCTGGAGCCAACTAGATTGGCATATCAAAGTAACTTGTTAAGATATGATTCCCAACAAACAAGATGTTTACCGAATCTTGTGAAAAATAAATCAGTTGCAAAAGTAAAAGTCAGAGCACCAAAATGTTTAAGAGTGTTTACACATGGCTTATAAAAGAGAGAAACTTCTATATACTCTACACATGAAGGAACAACAATTTACTAAGGCGACATGTTTGGGCTAAGATCACCTGATAAAGCAATCTGTCATCCTTGCTAAAGGAAGTAAAGCAGTTACCAAAGAAGACAGTAGTAGCATTTATTTAGATATGTTTGAAATTAAGGACACTTCTGTAATTTTCAGGGAAAGCTAGACTGTTACCAAGGCTCCCAGCAATTTCACCTAGAAAAATAGCTGCACCTGTACTTCATCAGCTAGTACTGTATGTAGCCTTTTGACAATAGCCTGTCAAATTCTTTGCACTTCAGATTATGTTGAAAACAAAAAGCAACAGCAAAAGTAGCTGATTCAGTGGGCCCAAGATGCTGGATCACTCGAACTATGTAACAGTGTTATAACATTGACTTAGTCTGTTTTCATGTTACAAACTGGTCCTGTGGATTAACATATTATCAGATACTAGAACTCTAGTATTTTAGCGAATACTAAACCACCGTTTAGAAATCAATATAGATTTAAATCCTATATTGCTATTTAATTTCAAAATTCAGAACTTATGGCAATTCTATGCTCAAAGCACAGGTATTCTATGAGAGAACAAAAAAGTTATGTTGAAAATGCAGAATCAAGAAGTGGTTTGAGCACATCTTTCAGAGAATGGGCTCACAATAGTCTGCACTAATGTGATAAGCTATGCTTGTTCTTATATTGAATAGGAGCTTTTTTCCCCTGTATAAAAGTTATATTTATTCCTGGAACTGAGAATAAGAAACAAAATTATGTTTGCCTAGCTGAAAGCAAATCCAATGCTGGAGCAAATAAAGCCTGTTTGCACCAAAACAAAACAGAGATTGCTAAAAAAAAACATCCTACAATGGAATCTAAGTTACTAATAGATATTTGAGAATTACAATATGAATTCAGTTTGGATATGCATGTATATAGTGCATAATCAACATCATGATTATGTGTCTATAAAGGCTGCCAAATTATTCCCATAAAATATATAGTAAGACACAAAGAATAAAAACCTAGAACACATTATTAACACAGTTTTTTTGATAGAAGCATTAACCATTCCCTGATTATGATCTTATGTATGCATGTGTGTATTAAATTTATTGGCCGCCCATCTTACCACAGGCCAACTCTGGATGGCCAATAAATTATGTATTAATTTTATATGCCACCCACCTCTCCTGTAAGGTGACTCTGGGTGGTTATTTATGATATAAATAACTAGCTAGCTCCATTCACTTTTCATACTGTATCCCAGCATGTCTCTTTATGATTGGTAAAACACTAATGTGATAAGGTTAGGAATACTTTCAGTTTCAATAAAACTATAGTTTTCCTTGCTGGAAATTGGTAGTACTAGTAAATGAATGATCTGTAGGGCAAAACTCTAGATTTACTACAGTAAAATATATGTAGACTTATTTCTGCTGTTTCTGCTATTTTTTTTTGGTACTTAAATGGACCGTGGGATTGTGTGTGAAGCCAGGAGATCCTCATGGATGTCTGGCTACCAGTTTGTACCAAAAACTTTTAGAGAATGATGATGCTGAGATAGCCGATGAACTTCTTCATAATCTTGACCTGGCACGTAGGCAGAAATGGGAGCAAACTATGTCTGGATTAGATTTTAAACAGTCAAGCAGGAAGGCATGGAGCCTACTGAGAAAACTGGGAGGAGACCAACCAGCTCAATGTAAATAACAAAAGGTTACTCCAGATCAAGTAGCAACTCAAATTGTCAACTTAACTAGAATACCCCATAATAAGAAACATACTAAACTAGTGAAAAGAGAACTAAAGCATCTAAAAACTCTGGGATTGCCTAACCAGGAATACGCTCGACCCTTCCAAGCAGCTGAAATAGATACTGCCCTGAAGAATGTCAAAGCTGGAAAATCTCCTGGTTTTGATGGAGTAACGCCAGAATTTATCATCCACTCTGGAACTCGCATAAGAGAATGGCTGGCAAAATTTTATACAGATATCCTAACTTCCAGTAAGCTCCCTCCAGAATTTAAAAGAACCAAGGTAATCGGCATATTAAAACCCGGAAAAGAAAGCAATAAGCCAGAAAACTATTGCCCCATTGCTCTGTTAAGTGTCTGTTATAAACTACTGGAAAGATTGATACTTAACAGAATTGGAGAGAAAATTAACGAACAAATACTGGTTGAACAGGCTGGGTTTAGATCTTATCAGAGTTGTGTTGATCAGGTCCTTAGTCTTACAAGCCATATTGAAAGCAGCTATAAATTCAGAATAAATTGAAAACATATGTTGTATTTGTGGCTCTCACAGCAGCATACGATACAGTATGGAGGGAGGGCCTATTAAGCAAATTCCTCCACGTTGTCCCCTGTAGGACTATGGGCCTCCTAATAAATAACATGCTTTCAGCAAGGACCTTTCAAGTCATCATGGGTGACAAAATCAGTAAGCAAAGACACATGAATAACAGACTCCCTCAGGGCTCCGTGCTGGCTCCATCTCTATTTAATCTATACATTTCCGATATACCACCCACGCTATCAACAAAATTCTCTTATGCTGATGACCTGGCATTAGCATATAGCCACAAGGACATCACAAAGCTACAGAAGGCGTACTTACAGCCGACCTCACAACTTTGAGCACATACTTCCACCAATGGAGGTTAATCCCAAGCATAAATAAAACAGTTACATCATGTTTTCACCTTAACAACAAATTGGCAAAAAGAGAACTCAATGTATACCTAAACAACAAACTGCTCTCATATGAGGCAACACCAAAATACCTGGGGGGTCACCTTAGACAGGACTCTGTCTTTTAAAAAACATATTCAGAATATGGCTGCCAAGGTTAACAGCAGAAATAACATTCTACAAAAACTATGCAGAACAACTTGGGGAGCTTCAGTTCCAACTCTTCGATGTGCAGCCTTCGGGCTTTGCTACTCTGCAGCGGAATACTTCGCACCTGTATGGATAAACAGCTCACATACAGGACTTATTGATGTTCAACTTAACCATACGATGAGGCTAATTACTGGGTGCATAAAATCTACACCTAGTTACTGGCTACCAGTTCTTAGTCACATACTTCCCCTGCACTTACGACGACAAGAAGCTCTCATTCGGGAGTATAGCAAGATCCTGTTAAATTCCTCTCTACCCATTCATGGCTGCATTCCTGATCTCTTAAGATGCCGATTAAAGTCAAGAAACCCACCACTCTTGACAGCGCTTAAGCTGCTGGCCGATCATCAGAACACCACACAAAAGTGGATGGAAGCGTGGAGTAGCTATTCCCCCCAAGATATTTCTGAGCAAATTAATCCTAATAGTATACCTCCAGGATTTAATCTATCCCGACAATATGGGTGAAATACAATAGAATTAGAACGACTCATGGGGTGTGTGCTGACTCCTTGTATAAATGGGGAAAGACATCTTCAGCACAATGTGATTACGGGGCTCCCCGACAGACTATCCAACATATAGTCAGGGAATGCTCTAACAGAAGGTATCCAGGAGATTCTAGGGACTTCCTCTGCGTAACAACGACAGCTACTGACTGGATCTCCAAACTCGACATTAAACTCTGAAATGTTATTTCTGTTTTCCTCTTAGGTTTTTTTATTGCTTTTTTTTAAATTGTTTTAATTATTTTAACTTGTAAAAATGAAGTGTTTTAATATTGTGTGTGACCAGCCATACGCGAAATAAATAAATAAAATATGTAGATTGTAGTTAAAAATCAGTGTTACTGCATTTTCTATAGGAACTGATTTATCACAGACAAAAGAGCTCTAAGACTTCAAAGATACTTCATGTTGTTTTCCTCTCCTACACAAAACCTCAATGAAATTCAGTACTCTGTGTTTCAAAGTTTCCATTTCAGCCTGGAGGATACAGTTGATGCATCAAAACAAAATGGGAACGGTGTTTGTAAGCTGAATGAAAATAAAATTTAGAACATTTTATAGTGTTGTCAACTTGAAAATTGCTGAACCAATCAGAACTACAATCGGAAGACTTTAAAAAGCAGGGATGTCCTTGGCATCTTTAATATTTGTGGACTTAAAGTTCCAGAATTCCCTAGTCAGTCATGCTGTGTGAGAGACTTTTTTTAAAAAATAAAAGAAAGCTTACTGAATTACATCAACCACAAAGAAGAAACTTTACCCTTGATCTTTCTTCTAATTTGGTCATCATGACAACAGTGGCACTCCTTTGCTCCCACATCATTCTCCAGAAATCTCCAAAGGTTTCCGGAAGAGCTCCTTGGGTTGCTATGTAAGCATTCTGCTTTCTGTAACCATCTATATAGTTAGCATTTATATAATCACTGCCAGGGATTCCTAAAAAAAAAGGGAAGAAAAAAAAAGACATTATTAATTCAACTATGAATAGTATTTTTTATTTTTATGCCAGAACAAGGAACTAGGAAATGCTAATATATTGTTGCAGAGTATATAATAAAATCTTGACAACCTGTCCAAATTTATCTCTGCCCAACAAAATTAAGTTGAGGTTATTTTGAATTTCTTTTTAACCTTTGTTTTAATCCTTGGGCTATATAATCACTTCCCCAGAACCCCCTTCCATACCTTCCCCAATGTCATTTCTAAGCATACATAGTTTGGTGCCTGAAGAACTGAGGTTCTGAAGTCAGAACTGAAAAAGCTTCTTGGATGAGAAGAGAAATGTCTTCAAGGAAAAACAACGAAAGTCCTTCTGGAAAAAGTATCTTTGCGACAACCATGACCTAAATGACTGAGCATCTCCACAGACATTTTGATTCAAAGAACTAGAAAAAAATTGGGAAACTTATTTTGGCTCAAACATGATACTCTTTCTAACCAGTGCCTTTTTCTTGTATGTCAGGGGTACATATTATAGTTTCAGGCCTGCATAAAAGTATGATTCTAGTGACTTCTAAAAGTTGCTATCAAAAAGACAACTTTTTGTAATGTAACAGAAAAATAAATAATTTACTGACTCTAATATTGTGTATATTTTATATAATATAATAAACCAAATCAAAATGATTTTTCCCCTTTTTTCATGCACTATTTTGTGGAATTTAAGTGTATGAATGTTATGCAAAGGCCAAATGTGACGTTTATAAAAGTAATCAACCATTTATCAGGGATAAATTTTAGGCTAATTGCTCTGTAATTTCATAGTTTTTACATTTCTTACATAGAAAGACATCAGTAATTACTAAAAATGTTATATATCTGCTGCATGCATGAATACATACATGGCATATGACATACATGTCAACTCAAGGAATTCAATATATTAAAGTTATATGTTTATAGGGAGTTATACCAATGAAAAACAGGAAGATTTTAATATATAGGTAGCCCTCAATTTATGACTACTATAGAGCCCAAAAGTTATGTTGTTAAGTGATAAATTTGTTAAGTGAGTTTTGCCCCATTTTACAACTTTTCTTGCCACATTTGTCAAGTGAATCACTGAAGTTGTTAAATAAGTAACATGATTGTTTAAGTTAATCTGGCTTCCCTATTTTCTTTGCTTGTCAGAAAGTTGTAAAGGTGATCACATGACCCTGGGACACTGCAACTGTCATAAATATGAGCCAACTGTCAAGCATCCAAATGTAAATCACATGACCATAGGGATGCTGCAATGATCATAAGTGTGAAAAATGGTCATAAATCACTTTTTTCACTGCTGTTGAAACTTTGAATGGTCACTAAATGAACTGTTGTAATTCAAGGACTACCCTAACCTTTAAGGATAGATAAATTGCATATTTTAATGAGTTTGTTGTAATTTATATTGAATAGATTAATTAATTTGAGATTGCAACTGAAATGAAGATATGTTCTCAGACACTTACAAACCTAATGATAGGATTTAATTATTAAAATGTTGAAGAAAGTCCAAAAAAAATCCAAAAAACATTGAATTTTCTTCATTGATCTTCTGTGATGTTACAGTATTTTGTACTAAGAAAAAAATATATTACAGCCACATTTAGACAATGTTGGCTCATAATGTCGTCAAAGTAAATAGAAAATCTTGAAAGTCAGAAAGGAAAAAAAAATCTAAAAGTCCAACCGAATGATCTCATTACAAGATTTTTCATATATCCCCAATTCTCATTTTCCACTAAAGTATCTTTGAAGTAAAATGCTGACCTCTTTTGATCCTATTAAATTTCAGCAGACTTTGGACAGAATTTTTAAATTGTATAGATTATTTATGAAATTCGCTTTGACCTGCGGTATCATACTTGGTGCCACTGAATATTGATAAGGATTTTTAAAAAACCTACAGTATATAAGAAGAAACAAATTGCAACCAGAATTTGGAGTTTTCAATGCTAAGGGAAAAATGATAACCTTTCTGTAGGTCATAGATTCTTTCTGTTTTTAGAGTGAAAAGTGAAGAAAAAAAAAGGTAAAGAAAACAATAATAAATACTAAATATAAATGAAAGGAATTGTATTCTAATTACCAATATCTTAGATTATTTCTCATTCTAGTCCTCTTTTCTAGCATATCTGTATCAGGGGTGAAATCCAGCAGGTTCTGACAAGTTCTGGAGAACCAATAGCAGAAATTTTGAGCAGTTCGGAGAACCAGTAAATACCACCTCTGGCTGGCCCCAGAGTGGGATGGGAATGGAGATTTTGCAATATCCTTCCCCCAGGAGTGGGGTGGGAATGGAGTTTTTGCAGTATCCTTCCCCTGCCATGCCCACCAAGCCACGCCCACCAAGCCACGCTACGCCCACCAAGCCACGCCCACAGAACCGGTAGTAAAAAAAAATGGATTTCACCACTGATCTGTATGTACCTTAAGTACCTTAGAGAAGCCATGTAAATGTTGATTTTAGTAGGCTGTTATAATACTGTCTTAGATACTTAATAACATCTATTGATCTACGGGACCACCTGCTACCACCAATAGCCTCCCACTGGCCAGTACGCTCCCATAGAGAGGGGCTCCTCTGGGTGCCGTCAGCCAAACAATGTCGACTGGCAGCCCCTAGGGGGAGAGCCTTCTCTGTGGGGGCACCTACGATCTGGAACGAGTTCCCCCCGGAGATACGGAGGATCCTGGATCTGCGCACCTTCCGTCGCGCGCTCAAAACTTTCTTATTTCATCAAGCTGGCCTGGCCTAAACCTTCTCCCCATTTAAATGTAAATTTTAATTTGTTTTTAAATTATTGGGTATTTTAAATTTGTCTCAGCCAAATTATTTAATTCGTTTTTATTCTGTTTTAAATTTTGTATCTATGTGTTTTATTCTGTGGCTGTTCACCTCCCTGAGTCCTTCGGGAGTAGGGCAGTATAGAAATCCAATAAAATAAAATAAATAAATAAATAAAAACATTACCTATTTTTAAGAATGAGCAACTCATTCTCAGCTACAGTTTAAGTTTAAATATAGTGTGTGCATATGTGTATATGTGTGCACAAGATTGCCATTTTATTTTGTAAGAGCTATCATTTGATGTATCCGTAAGACAAAATATTTTGAAAAGTATGTGTCAGCACAAAAACTCTTAAATTATAAATACATATGAAATGGAGAAATGTTGAAGGAAGGTATTTGAAGGTTCTGTATGTATGATTAGGGTCTTATAATTCTTGGGTATGTAGTAGTGTAGGCCAGTGGTGGGTTGTCCCCAGCTGTTCTATAGAACCGGTAGTAAAACTGGCGGGAAGCTCCGCCCACTGACTCCGATTTCATCAAAATGCTTCATCGCATGCACAGAAGCTTCTGCACATACGCACGCGGCCCTGTTGCGAACTGGTAGTAAAGGCAGGTAGAACCCACCCCTGCTTGAAGTACATTAGGGCTCATATTTAATGCGGTTGAACAGGGGGTGGGGGATTACTGTTTTTACTTATTTTATATTGGGTTTTTATTGTTTGCAAGGTTCCTCGAGTCACTGAAACTGAGTGAGCAGCCATATAAATTTTAATATATTCATATAAATAAATAAATAGATTTATTGTAATCAATCTATAACATATTTCAATAATGCTGCAGTTTAAACTTTTTAATGGAATTAATAAACAATTAAAAAGTCTTAGTTTATTGCATTTTCTGCATGTTATTTACAGTATTGAGCCATGGTGGTGCAGTGGTTAGAATGCAGTATTACAGGCTAATTCTGTCAACGGCCAGAGGTTCTTTCTTCACTGACTCAAGGTTGACTCAGTCTTCCATCCTTCTGAGGTCAGTAAAATGAGGACCCAGATTGTTGGGGCAATACAATTTGTAAACTTAGAGAGAGTTGTAAGGCATTATGAAGCAGTATATAAGTGCTATTGTTATTGCTATTTTGAAAACCCATGTAAGACATGTTAATTCTTTTGCATCATTCTTATAATAAACACATTTAATAGGTGTTATATTAGCATATTTCTTTTCCTTAGCATGATATATTTTATATTATGTGACAAATGTGGCATAGGTATTATAAAAAAGTAAGTAATGTGTATAATATTAATACTCATTAAGATAATATCTTGAAATATAGCATTGTTAATTTTGAAAAATAATTTAATTTTATTAATTTATAGTTAAAGGCCAAATTATATCACAAAAAAATTAGAAGTGCAGATATAGATAATCATGTCTATTTGGGAAATATCAATTTTGGAGAATTTGCATTAAATGATGAATAAGAATACATCTTTGCTATCACTATATTTTATTTCCTGCAACCTAGTTACAAAGTATACACTAAGCCTTTCAAAAGCCATGATTTTGGGATTTACGAAGTTTTTGGAGTGAAGAAAAGCTTTTCAGGAATTTCCTGAATGTGGAAATATGAGTTAATGATTCAGAAAATAACAGTAGCCGGGCAAAATGCCACAAACCTTCCATCTATCAAAAATGACAAAACATTTCTCCAAAAACAGATGAGAAGAAGAATGAGGTCAACAAGAGAAATATACACCTAGTGTACATTACAACTAGAAGATATGTATTGGGCATTTATAAGAGAAACATTTTTTCTAGATAACTTATGAGTACATTTACAAATGTCTGGTGTTGTTCTGCGGTGCGTCATTTACTTCAAAATAAAACTGAACATTGTACACATGGAAAAACAAAAATCCTTCCCTGCATTAGCAAGTTGATGAGAAGCTGGCATCTAGCCATGAGAACTTATGTATTAACATCATTCAGCAAAGAGCATACTGCCAATGCTTAATATAAGATGCTCCTAATATTTTTTGAAGCCATTCCTACTGGTATGCAAATGTGATTAATTTTTATATTTTGAATTCATTATGCTTTTCTTTAGTTACAATAAAAAAAATGAAAAAAGAAAAAAAATCCAAACATCTATATTATATTT